ACCAACCGTCATCCTTCTGACTGAAATGACCATTCTCTGGTGACTACACCACCCTGCAGTTTGCCTCCCTGTCTTCACGGTCAGTACATCAGCTGTGGCATGTAATTGCACCAGGCACAAACAAAACAGCCTTGGAGGGGTCCTTCATGTCTTTGGCCGAGGGCCTTACGAATTGAGGAGGGGTCCGGGCGACGCAGACACAGACCATCTCCACTTCTCCGTCTGTGGAGCAATTAGGGTTGTGGGCCGTGAGTGTGTGCGTGTCCGTGGGCTCCAGCTGTCAGGAGGCCTCTGTCTCTTGGTCATGACATGTCTCCGATACTCCCCGCTGTGAGTCTCTCTGTGTCACACACACTCCACGGACCCGGCCAGAGCCCAAGGCGAGCTGTCCGTCATCTCACACACATGTGCACACACGTACATTCTCCCTCTCTCCCTAACTCTCGCACACACACATGCTGAGTTTTCACTGATATGGTCCTTCTGGCGCTGTGGTAGTACTTCTCTCTCTCACTCACAGTGTGTGTGTGTGTGTGTGTGTGTGTGTGTGTGTGAGGGCAATAAGCATGGTGGTGGCTGCGGGCCATGGCAAGTCATCCGTGCTTCCCCTTATCGTTTTAATCACCTCGTTAGGCGCAGCTAGTCCCCACACTCACTGGCCACTGCCCCTCCTCTGGAACCATGCCCTCCTGACCTGACGCTGGTGGTGCCACCGGGCACAGGGTTCATGATGGGAGGAGGACAAGAAGAGTGGACGAGCAGAGGAGATGAGAGGAGAAGAAAAACTTCAGACCATCCACAAAGTTTCCTTTTAAAAGCATTGCTCTGGCTCTGCTGAGTTGTGTCAATATGCCATATACACATAACATAAACACCTCCAAACCGTAAACCCATAGATTAAACCATTAACAATATTTTCTACTATCTACTACTGTCTTCACACACCTGCATGAGTGACAGGTGCTAACAGTGCGCAGCAGATGGTCTAAGACCTTCCTGTAAGTGTGGTTACAGCCAACTGAATAAATGCACACATCCAAGGAAAGTGATGGTGCTCTTCACAAATTAGCAGTGGTGGAATAAATAGTCTAGTTCAAACCAGCTCTGCCTTGAGCACCTACAGTAAACACACTATTGCATTAATATCAAAAATCTAATAATGTCATCGATAATAACATGATGGCCCTTGCCCAGAATGTTATCGTCCATGTCGGCTGCAGTGCCATTCCCAGTCAGATGCCTGGAGTACTAAAGCGTGGCTACAGCAAACCCCCTCACAGTCCAGTCCCATCCCTCCACTCAATAGCGACGTGGGTTGTTTTAGCCACGCTCTTAGCCTCCACACCTGGAAGCTAAGAGTGTCTGAAACCTCGTTTTATCCTGCCTCTCGGACATTAAGTACTGGATATCACAAAGCTTCCGTAAACTAAATGATTCCAAGTCGGAAATCCTGTTGCTTGCCCCCGGCCGATATCACCCCTGCCACCCAGTCAAATGTTGTAGGCCTAACATAAAACGTGAAAACCAGTAACCTAGGTGTGATTTTTGATTATCTTTTGAGAGCCAGATCACAAAAGTTGGTCAGCTCTGCTTGTCCCCTCTGGGCCTGTACATAACCTAAGATTTTCAGGTCCCTACTTGTCACAAAAGGTGACCAGACTTTTGCAGCAAGGGCCACACGTTTATGGAACTACAGCAGCCTCAGTGTCCTCTTTGAGATCTCATCTCAAAACCTATTTGTATCAAAAGCCTTTTTATAGTAAACAATTATTTTACGATGAGCTGTGTCTATGTTATTTTATATCTTTTCCACTAGTTTTTGCTTTTCCCATTACTTTATATTCCCCCTTTGCTATATAAATGCACTGTGTAGCCCTGCTTTCTTTTACTGTATTGGCCGTGTACCCTGTTTGTAAAGCACTTTGTAACTCTGTTTTAAAAGGTGTTACATAAATAAATAGACCTTCGGAACCATTTTACTTTTATACTTTAAGTATATTTTGCTGATCGTATGTCTGTATAATATTTTACTGAAGTTGGATTTTCAATGCAGGACTTTTTACTTTAATGGAGCATTTTTTACTTAAGGATCTGAATAAATCTTCCACATCTGTAAATTGGTCTAACATACAGCAAGAATAATCAAAAATTATTACAAATAATGTTAATTTTAAATGTTAGACACATAATAGGATACATTTAAAACACTGAAGCTGTCTAAATCACCCTAAAATAAAAAGATTTTGTTGCACTATTCCAGCAATAAAAGCTAAAATGATATTTGATCTTTTTTCTGGATCTTGATCAGTGCTTCCTCTCTCTGTGCTACTGTTGCAGTGTGGGGTCAAATACATTGAAAGTTCTCCAACACATGTCAAGATGTAAGGAGAAAACATTAAATCAAACATGAAAAGGGTTATATTTCAGTTTTAGACAGCGCAGAGTGATTTAATCAAGTCACTTTTATGGTTGTTCAAAATGCAAAATGATACAAATCAAATGATGCAATAACGCCTCTCTTCCTCAATTTATCTCTTCTAGCTCTTTACCTGTGTGTTTGAAAATGTAGAGTATATTTTTGAATCATTAATATTGACCAAACCACAGATGGTCAGGTATGAAACACAGACTCAGGTGTGTGTCAGGGAAGAATTAAAGGTCTCAGTCGCACCCACAGGTGTGACAGTATAGCCAGTGCCTACATCCAAGCCTGACTCAAGGTAACTAAAACCATCAATACCCCTCATAAATTAGTATTATATACATCTGGGATCAAACGGTTACAACAAAATCAAACACATGTCAAGAAGTAAATTCACAATATCCATCGAAAATAGGAATCTAATATAAATTTAATTTAATTTCACTTGTAGGCAGCACAGAATGTACATTTACAGCACTGGATCTTAGTAAATCCTTCTAAAAAAAGGATTGATCGAAAGATTCTCCACTTATACATCATACAAAATATTATTCCCCACAACCAAGCAGGCTGTTATCATTTTCCATCTACCCCCCCTCACTGAACTGATGACCTTCCCCCCTCTGGTATAATAATCTCTTATCATCTCATCTCATCTTAAATGACAACTAGAATGTAGAAAAATAAAGACATTTTCTGGGGGGGGGGACTTCTGACTGCCGAGCTTTACCAAATTAGTTTTATGTTGAACCTCTCTCTTTCTCTCTCTCTCTCTCTCTCTACCGTGCACTTATTTGTTTAATCATTACCATTCACCGAAAACGAGAGCACGTGCACAAACTCACAACACGGACACACGTATTTATTTATTTTTTCCATCTTTTATCATGCACACATCTCTGCCTTCCCTTTTGCCCACTACTCCCACGGGAGGGAGAGCGCTTGAGGGGCTGAGGGGCGTGAAGAGAGAGGGAGGAGGTGTGTGTTTGTGAGTGTGTGTGCGTGTGTGTGTGAGAGAGAGAGGGGTGAGTGAGGGAGGGAAGGAGTGAGGGAGTGAGGGAGGGGGCGGCGTTAGACAATACCATTCCTCAAATATATTCCATCCCCTACGTCCCTGAAGTGAACCTTTATTAGTCGGGATCGTTTGGATCTTATCTCGCATATGACACTCGGTGGGAGAAAGACTGGAGGAAAAAAGAAGGGGATTATCTGTGAACTGCCTTCCGATCCGCTGATTCTTGACACGGGAGAGCCTCGCTTATCTCGCCCCTTTATTCCCATCTTCCACAGGCGGATGGACGAGTAGCCCTGGCTGCACTTTTTCCACTATCTGCCCATCTCGTCTATTGTCTCTCCGTCGCTGGGATCACAGGGGGCTGACTGATCCCTGCTCACATCATTATTATTATTTTTTGTAGTGTTTTTAATCGGCTGATCACTAATCATCTTTAAGACTTCGGGACTCCAGACTGTTGTGATCTGCAGAAACATCTCCTGGCTTTGACCCCGCGTGATTCCCATCTTTGCAAGTTCGCGGCGGCTGGAAAAAGTAAAACAACTAGTTTTTTCCTCTGTTGTTTTGTTTTGTTTAACTCTCTCTTTCTCTCTCTCTCTCTCCGTGAGACGCCCGTCCTCTTTTACATCTGATGGTTGTTTTGGTCGGTGGAATATGAGTTAATTTGGAGTTGAAGCTCCGCTCAAGAGCGTTTTTTTTTTCCAAGTTCGTTTCGAGAAATCTGTGCCTCACCACTCTTTGTCAAGGTGAGTCTCAAATGTGGGAGAGAACATCTACATAGCTTACACTTGAAGAAATTAAGAGTCACATCTGTTTGTTTTTAAATGTTTGTGCCCACATCATCTATTTTTGTGTTTTTATGTGCGGCCCACAAGCTATGTAAACATATATTTTGCTTCCCCCGTTTTATGAAAAACACAATAGCTCCAATCATTTCATGTCCAGCAGATGTCAACATTATTTTACCGTCTTATGCCTCCATGCTGTCAAGTCACTCTGGCTTCAGCCAAGCAGATGTGTTCATCACACTGTGACAGATGGCCAATTCTGATTATGTTAATTCGTACCAAAAAAGGGAGTTTCTCCTTCATAAGTGATCACAACTTGCATTATTTTGCAAAGAAAAAATAAAAAAGGACCATCAAATAAAAAAATGAGAATTTGAAAGAAAAATTCAAATAAGACACTTTCAAAAATGTCACGTTTTTCCTAATTGCTCTTTTTAAGACCTTGGGCTTCAAGAAATTAACAATTACGCGAGCCATTCTTTATTTATGGAGTTAAATGTTATTATGCAACGAAGATAGACTGTATTTGGATTTATGGGGGGCCCTGCCATCCAAACAAGCGCCCGGATGGAGCCTCGTGGTGGCAGAAAACATTGAAAACATTACATTTAATTGACATTTATTCACATTTTTTTTTTCTGTAATCTTTCCATTAACAACAGACTCATTAGGGAGCTAAACTACATTGGGTTGCCTTGATTTTTAAGGGGAAAAATCTAAATCAGTGTTTTAATAGCTGGTTTTGTCCACTCTACAGGTTCTGAAGGAGTGCAAATACCGGAGAATAAAAATGATGCTGAGCCCGGACCAGGCTGAGGCCGACCTCTCCTGGACTCAGTCCGACCCGGAGTCGATGCTCAACGGCCTCAAGTCGGCCGGCTGCGCCTCGGATGACCCGGCGGAGGGCGAGGACAGGCCAAAATGCAAATCCGATCAGCCCCTGAGCAGGGAGGAGAAGAGGAGGCGGCGGAGGGCCACGGCAAAGTACCGCTCGGCCCACGCCACCAGAGAGAGGATCCGGGTGGAGGCGTTCAACGTGGCCTTCGCGGAGCTGAGGAAATTACTCCCAACCTTGCCCCCTGACAAGAAACTCTCAAAGATCGAGATCCTCAGACTGGCTATATGCTACATCTCCTATCTCAATCATGTTTTGGATGTCTAAAAGTGATCCCCCCACGCACGCACACACACACACACCATGAGACAGAGAGGGTTTGGTTGGATTGGTAGACTGGACTCAAGCGCATGCTGGGCGTCAATTGGGTATGGCAAGGTTGGCAGTCACAGGTTGGACTGATAAGGAGATTTTTAAAGCAGATACCCAATATTTTTGTAGCTTTTCATAGCTGATATTTTCTGCAGACACAATTTTTGGGTGAAAAAAAAAATATGTCAGAAGATGAGTTACAAAATAAAATTTAAAAAACCCTTAATGAATATTTTATTTAAAGGAGGTTAGAAAAATTAAATCTCGGATTTGTTTTATAAAGCGGTGGAGAAACTTACTGGCTGATGTAATATCGGCTCAGTATATCGGTCTAACACCTGTGACATGAGCTCCCATCTTGCTTTGACTTCAGGGACGTAAATGAAATTATGAGGTTTTAATTACAAGATTGAAATCGTTAAATAAAAATATCTACAAATTCGACTTGCAAGACCAAAATCTATGAAAGAATTTCTCCAAATGAAACCATCTTGTCCCCGGATGCTGGGACTTTGCCATACCTCATAGTTGACTGAGTTGACCCCCCATTCCAGTGTTGGTTGTGTATGATGGTGTAAAGTTGTCGAAAAGTGCTCCGAGTGAAAGCCTCAACTTTCAGTCCAGGACCGCTCACTGAACAAAAGCGACAAGCGCCGAGTCGTTTGAGCTGTTAGATGCAATAATGAGAATAATGATTATTTTCCGTTATAGGCTACAGTAGGGGGAGGATGGGCTGCACGAGCAGGCATTCACGTTTAACCTCGCAGCAGTGATGATGTCTTAGAAAAGGAGAGGGGTTTTTATCATGAATATAAGAATTCGTTGAATTTCCACATTAAATCGCCCTCACAAATGACAATAGTATCCCACCTTATGTCGTGATTTAAGCCTAAAACGAAGTCCTCCCCTCACTATATCAATTTGAGGTCTAACAAAACAAACGCTGGGGCATTTTTCAGACCGAAATGAAAGTATGTAAACGAGATAGCTGCTTTAGATCTAGTTTAGATGATGTTTTCCGTAAAGGAAGAAAAAAAAACATTCAATGCGTAAGTGCCACTTATGACATATAAAATTGTGACCTTAATCATTTTTTAAAGTGTATGGAATTATTTATTTAATTGTGTTAATATTTAAGGCTAATTTATTTATGTTGATATCATAGGCTGGCGTCTTTTTGTATAAATGTATATTGTTTGTTGCTTCTATATTTTAGGCTGTGAAATTGAACTTGGAAAGTGATGGTGTTCTACTCTTAAAAATGGCACTTTCTGTTAACCCATAGCATAACTTATTCGTTTGATGTATGTTTGATGTATGTCACTCTCTCTCTCATTTTATTTTTGTTGTTGTTGTTTGTTTGCTTTCAATGTCACGTCTATTGTCTATCAATAGCAACGATAAGCACTTCAAGATGGGGTTCAATGGCCCCATAAATGTTTATTTCCCTAAATTGTTGTGTTAAGAGGTTGCTATAGGAATATTAATTAGGCTGCTTAAAAAATCACTCAATTTAAAGATTTGTTTCACTGAATGAGAATAATGTAATAAGAATGATTATGTCAGACAGTTTCTACCACCAAGGGGTTTATCACATGCGATTCTGAAGCAAACTTCTTTTTGCTGTTACCAAAAAATAATAATTATTTCAAAAAATAGTCTGGATTTATTATCTTTAATGTTTTGATGTTATTGTTTCGATGCATTGGTTTATTTATTTGTCTCTGCTTTGTATTACGAAATTCAACAAGTAATTTTATAGTGAAGAAGAAGAAAAAAAACATATCCTCTATCCAAAGATTTTTTGTCTCTTCAGGGTTGTGTAGGCTACTTGTTGCTTTATGCAGATCTTTTGTAGTAGAGGTATTGTGTGACAGCTGGTTTCTAATGGACAAACTTTTCATATTTTCCGGTGTTATTTTTAATTAAATCGGAAATACTTGAAAAAAAGAGATTCCCTCTCCTGTTTTGAAATAATTTATTTAAAAGGAAGGTTTGCAAAATAGCAGAAAATGAGCTAACAGCGAACAGCCACTGACGTTCAGCTGACTGCAGTGATGGATGTGGCGCAGGATGACGTCAGGTGCACGCACAAGTGCGGGGTGATATGAGCGCTCATGCAAATCAGCGCACATATAGGCCTACTGCAAGCTTTCAGACAGCTTTTTGAACACTCTCTCTCTCACACACACACACACACACACAAACACACACACAACGCAAGGTGAAATAAGTGCAAACCAACGCAGACAGAAGAAAACTCACCCTGCACACACGCACACACACATGCACACTTTCTCTCTCTCCCGCACACATACAGTGGTCAGCAGCTAAAGGCAGTGGTAGGCTACATGTGTGCTCCTGGCTGAAAGGCTCCCTCCCTCCCCAGAGAGGGGGCAGGTGTTACTCCAGACGAGCCAAGACAACCAAATTACTGGCCGTCTGGCACCTCCCGTGGGAAACCCGGGGAGAGAGGAGGGATGGGAGAGATGGAAATTTATGAGCGAGTGAGCGAGCGGAGCACCGAGATGTAATATTGCCAAATGGTATGAACAAAAAAGATCCAAATATTTATACTAATTTGTGATATGTAGCCTATTCCCATCGATTGTGCTATAAAAAGCCTGTAGTTGAGTTACAGAACAGAAGATGTGGAGGATGTGTGGATGCTTTTATCCAGGCTTCATTAGATTATCAGGAGTGAACTTCTTTTTATTTTTTTTTTGCACAAGCATGGGTGGTTGCCCCAGTGGGAAATGAACCCTTCACCCTGGAAATACCAGAGATAAGCTGTGCCAGTGGAACAACAGAATGCATACAGGTAAAATATGAATAATACAAGTCTATCTATCTGTCTGTCTGTCTGTCTATTTATCTATCTATCTATCTATCTATCTATCTATCTATCTTCAGGTGCAGGTGCATGTGGTTGTAGCGAGGCCATGTTTCTCGTTTCAAAACTTGTTATCTTTGGAGACTGAAGGAAAAGCATGAAATGTTCTTTCCCTTTCAGCTGAAGGGCCTTCTGCGTCTCACTCTTCTATTTGGCATCTGTCAGTTTGTCAGTCTTCGGCCTGACTTTCTCCTCTTACCTTCAGCTGCGCCCACACAGGCCAAGAACATTTGCATGCTGACAAGGCTGCTTTTAACTGGTCAGACTGACATTTCGTAAACCATCCTGAAGCGAGACTCAATGACTTTGGAATGAAGAAGAAATACGTTCTTCTTCTTGTAAATGAAATGCTGAAATCATAAAAAAATAGAAACTTTTTCTAATTTCAGTACACTCAGGGAGCTTCGCTGCTACAGCATTCATTGGTTTGGTGTGGCCAGTAGCTTGCTGTGGGCAATGTGAAAGGGGTCGCACAGAGTGATGAACCTATTATCTGCCCAATCTGCAACCTTGGCTTTACAGAGTTTCATACAAGGTAGCCTACAAGGTTGTTTATTTATCATTATACGGCACAAAGTTGTATAACGAAAAGAAAGTTTGGAGTCCCTTCATGCTGCACACACAGATCTTAACAGATAATTATAGTGAGATTCAGCTCCTTACTTTTTTGGTGTACATCTGCTCAGCATCAAACAGCAGATAGTCACAGTTAGTGACTATAGCTGGTGAACATATTGGAGCATTTAGCAGCAAAAGAGGCAGATATTTCCCTCAGGAGTTGGTAGAGACCAAACCATAGTTAAAATAGAGTGAACATTGGACTTAAAATTCATCTGGTGGCCAGAAACATGACTCCAAATGTTAACGTTGCTCCACAACTGCTGGACGTGTAAATAAGCAAATAACAGTAACAGTAAAAAAAAATGTGTCACTTAGCAGAAGATCATCAACAGAAGTCACAAAATAAAGGCAGCAGATTTGTTACTTCCAACTGAAACTGGCATTGACAGCACTTTGCATCACATTAGAGCCGCTTTGAAACATTTAAATGTTTGATAATCATTTAAATTTTCATTAGAACATTTGTTGTACATCATTCAAACCTGACTGGCCCAATATTTCAGACTGCTCTGCTAACGATTTTACAAAAAAAGAAGAAGAAAGAATAGAACACCAATATGTTGCATCAACAGATTGTCCTCTTCAGAACACAAAACAAGCTCTGCGATTCTGGCATGGCGTGGAGATAGACTTCTGCTCAAGCTTATTGAATGGAGGAGTCCATCTGTACGTCGCCGTGAAGCACTACAAGGCCATTTGTGCTCCTCATCCCAAAAGCTTCCGTAGCATCAGTCCTCTTCAATTTATTCTTTACAAAGCCCCAGAAGGGGCAGGGGAGAGAAAAGTGACAGGCAAAGCCCAAACTGCTGAGGGCACTGAACAGCCTGGCTGACAGTGTGACCGGTGCATGTGTGTGTGTGAGAAAGTACCACGTTTCACCACAACCCCCCACCCTCCTTTGCACTGTGGGCTTATGTAATGGTGGAGGCCGTGGAGTGACCATATGTCAGGAGGTGTGTGCAGACAGCAGGGGATTATACAGCGGCCATTATCAATGTTTGGGCATCCTTCTCCTCATCATCATTCAGGTATACGCAAAGCCAGGAGGAACACACACACACACACACGCACACATACACACAAACACACACAGCCATTTAATTCTGAGAGCTCACTAGCTCTGTGTAAATTGGACAGGGAGAAAGAGTATGACAACAAACAGCCATATGTTCACAGTACGAGGAACAACATTTGGGGCTTTTTGTGCTGCCTCATTTTTTGCCCTCTCTTTTATTCTCCACCTCGTTGGGTATTATGGAAGTGTTCATGTTCAAGGCGAGAACTCCCCCATCAATATTGCAACTCTGCCCCCCCCCCCTTTTCCTCCCTCTTGCCTCTCTCACAGAGGTGTATGTGTTTGTTGGAGTGTGTGAAGCGCGCACATCCCTGCATGTGTGTAGTATGAAGGGTGCTCGTGCAGCAGAAATACAAAGCCTGGTCCATGTGTTGAAATGCAGCCCCCGGGATGGGCCGTATTATCCCTGCCTACTTCACCAGCAGGGTCCCGCGGCTCGAGCTGGCTCGTGGCTCTTTGTCTCCAAACAGATGGAAATGGGCAGAGGAGAGGAGAAGTGGAGAATCAGAGAGAGAGGAGGAGTAGGGGGGGGGGGGTGTATAGAATGGACGGAGGAAGGAGAAGGGGAGGGGAGGGAGAAAGAGTCAGTCTGTTCTCATTAAGTGCTGTATTGAAGACGACGTCCCCCCACAATGCGTCAGCAGCCGCGGATGGTCCCCCTCTCATTCAGGCTCACGCTCGGACCATCTGTACCGTGGGCCTGTCATAAGGTGTGTGTGCATGCATTAGGCCCCGGCACACGGCCCAATCTGGCGAGTTAAAACGGCGATATTCATTGGGTTTCAATTTGGTTAAGATCTTTTAAATCCAATTGTTGGGCCTTTGTTGTGGACGCGTCATTGGTTGTGAGTCACTGTGAGTCAGAAGGAGACATCCTGCTGTCCCCCTTTTTTGAGTCTCAGAGGGTACCCACACACACATTTACACACAGCCGAGATGCAGATTTATAATTACTGAATCATAAAGATATTAAAGAGGGATTATCTCAACTTTAATCCTCCGTTATATAATTATTTGCTCATCACCGATCTGTCTTTAAACTTTCCCAAAATATTAGGGATGAGATAAATGACAACTTTCTTTAGATTACAGGTTGTTTTCTCAATGGACTGATCATTTTGTGTCTAGACAATGTTGGCAAACAGCAAAAAAATGCTAAACTCAAGTTCCCACAGCCCATGGTGATACGAAGAAAATAAAACATATTCAAGAAGTTAAAACCAGTGATTTTTTCTATATTTGCTTGAAAAGTTATCTAAATTGATTGCTGATAAGCAAAATAGATGCTGATTAATATTTATTGTTGATCAGTCTTAATGTTTTTGTGAGGGTCATTTTGTTATGCAGCCTTGTACACTAGAGTTACTATTCATGTACGTGTCGGCCCTATATGGTATTTATTGCCTACCTTTTATTGTATTTGTTTCATGCTCCATTTTTATGTAGCCTAGTAGTAGTAGAATATGTTTAAAATGCATGCAGTATGTTCTGTAAAATATTTTTAAAGCTACTCATGATTTTGTTTTAGTAGCCTGTGCTTTGACACGTTTTACTTTGGAAATGTACCAGTACTGTAACTTTTTCAACTACTTTATCAAAGTAATGGAACTTCTTACACTTAATTAATTTTTAATTACTTTTCTAAATTTCTAATGACGGTATTCAGCTCTTAACCATTTTCAAAAGACAGCTTGAGAGGTAGTTTAACTGGCAGACAGGCGGTGCAGCAAATTCAAACATGAGAATAAAAGCATCAGAACACCATCAAACTTTACTAAATGGCTGTTGGAAAAACATACAAAGCAACAACATAAATAATATTCAACATACAGCTGAGCTTTTTACAGAAAATAATCAGATGTAACCCCCAATGTAATCATGACTGCATGGATTACAGTTGCATTTATTTTGTAATTAAATAATGTAACTAAATTAGGCCTCCATGTTATCCAACTCTGCTGAGAGCTCAATCTTGGATTCAGCGTTTCTCTTTTGGTTAAATTGCTTGAAAATAAGACATGAAGGCCTTTCTCTGGGCTATTTGAAACTATACATACTCTGAAAAAAATCGGAAGGAGCCTTTAAACCTAATTTGTCACACACTGAATGTAATTGGCCCCTCAACAGAGGATCTCATCTGGCTGACTGTAAAGTGGCATTGCTCTGAAACATCCCACATTCATCCCGCCGTAGATAGTAGCCTATATCTGTCTTTGTGCGTGCATGCGTGTGGTCTCATAAACCGCATCTCTTCTCACTTCGTCTTCATTTTTACCCCCTTTCATTTTTCTCCTCTATTTACCAAAAACCTCTCTAAACTCATAAACTCCGTGTCTTTGGGGAGGAATCCATCCATCTTCCGGACACCAAATTGAATTGATCTCGGAGGGGCCCCCACCTCGCCTTCTCAATAGGGGCCATCTGCGCGCGCGTTTCCAGCTTTGAATAAACATGAAAAAGTGACAGCACGTGCTGCTGCCGCCGTCACAGGACGCGCGTGCCTACGATGGCACCGCGCGCTCCCATAGGACTGCGTAATCAGATTTCACCGCTTTCACTGCAGCTGATTGATTCACACACCAGAGCATGGAGGTCTTTGTTAACTTGTAGATGGCATATTGATAAGAAAAAAATAGCCTAGTAGTTAATAATAATAATAATAATAATTGTTTTAATTAATTAACTTTTACTTTAACATAGGCCTACAGCTGAAATAAATGCAACTCTGAACGAACAAAAGTAGACTGACAATAAGTCAGAATCAGAATCTGTAGAATATTTTGATCCCTGAGGGAAGTTTTTTGTTACAGATACTGCTTGGCATAAAAGGAATAGAAATAACAGTACAAGTTGGTAAGTATAAAATATTAGAAAGTAAAAGATCTAATAATAATAAATGTGGAAATTTACAATATTATACAGTTTAACAGAACAACAAACAATAGATTTAATTCAAAGGGTGGACTTAAAATATTCATGGTGTAAAATTCAACAAATATATACAAAACATGCATCTGTCTGCCAGTTTAAAGAGTTTTGATGTGCATTTTAAAGCTTTCATGTTATGTAATGGCGGCAAAGTGCCACATGGTGGCGCACTCATCTTAAACTATGTTGCGGGAAGCTGCTGCTACAGTGATTCTGAGAGTGTACCAGCGAGGAAAAAGTATTTATTCACAGAGACTAAAAACAGGTTCAGTTTGTTTTTCTTAAGCATTTTTAAAATATGCAAGTATAACATAACCACTGTCTTATTAATAAATTACATGTTGATATTGTATGTTCTTATACCAATCTCATCTATCTGTCTATCTATTGAACATACCCCCCCTCCTTGACACAGCGCTGGTGTTTATTTGGCTCTCCATGGGGAGGGCCAGGGGTCATGTCCCAGTCATGACCTCCATTGTGTTCTGGAGGGGATGAGATATATCTAAGGGTGTTGAGTGTGTGAGTGTGTGTGTGTGTGTGTGTGTGTGTGTGTGTGTTGGGGTAAGGATGCAGTTCAAAGGACGACAAAATATTGATTCATATACAACCGTGTAATTCCTAGAGGCATCTGTTGCCTTGTGGTTCAAACTTTCATGTGCGTCTGAATGAATTGGCCTGAGACACTTTTGTCTCGTGACACAATAGAGGAAGAATGGAAGTAGCAACAAAGATGTGAAATCAATCGATGGGGAAGTATGTTTTAATTGATTTTGTAACCCTTATTTAACCAGATATAGGCTACTTATTGAGGAAGGTACCCTTGTATTGGAATTATAGAAATTGTGACTATTTATGCATGTGCACGAGATTTTAAATGCATTAATTGCTAAAATGTAGTTTCTGTGAAAACTATCAATTTTATAAGCATTTTAAAATATGTATTTGTAAGTAATCACACCCAGCCCACACCAACCACTACCGACCCCAAGCTTTTTGGATTGTGACCCGTTAAAGTTGCAGTTAAACGTTATGGGAGATTTGCTTTCGCTTTCTTGCTGATAATTACATGAGATCCAGCCTTTATGATAAGCTAAGCTAACCGGCTGCAGCACTGTAGGGCTATATTTATCGTCCAGACTACACATAAGTGTAGCATCAATCTTCTCATCTAACTCTCGCCCACGACTGCAAATAAGTCTCTCTCAAAATGTTGAACTATTCCTGTAAAAGGAAGCAATGATTACTTGTCTGTAGGTTAAGCAGAGGATTTCCTCCCTGTATTATTTGAAAACTTTTAAGACAACTCAAAAAGGTAAAATAATTCAGTAATTCACAAGAATAAAGAGCAAAAATGAGAGAAATGTCAAGATAAATGTTTCTTTTTGCAGTCCTCTCCTGTTGATTTTATCATGACCCTCCGGTTTATCTTGTGACCCCTTGGAGAGGTCCTCATCCCCAGGTTGCAAACCACTCCTCTAAATAGTTTGTTTGCATTTCAAGGAGATTATTCTTGTGAGCCACAGTTTATTTTAAAATCTCTCCAAAGCAACTCCTAAATAAATCTCTTCCTCAGGAGATACTTAAACAATAAAGCATTCCTGTATGTCACATCAATAAAAATACCAGTGCCCCCAAACTCTTCCAGGTTAAGCACGTTTAGAGAGAGTTATAGCAGTTTTTGCAGTAGGGTAGGGTCCCTGTTGAATGTCAAAGATTTCTGTGTTATCCTTTATTAAAGGACTCAAAGTTCTCCAACTGAAAAGATGACTATTTGTTTACATTTCCTTTTAAGAGGCTGCTTCAAGGCCTCAGTGACTTCATTGTGCTTCTTTCACTGACTGTGTCTAGGCCAGATTGCTATCACTCCACTGTTTTGTTGCTTTGACTGAGTGAGTGAGTGGATGTATCACTGTCAACTGTTTACCTCATTCAGTTTCACGAGCTGTGACAAAAACATTGCCTGTGCGTGGGTGGACGAGGGAATACAGACAGAGGCTTCTGCTCTTGTCTAAACATTATAGGAACCTTTGTTAAGGCTTTGTTGTAGGCTTTGTGAATTTAAAATAATTTTACACTAGCAATATCTTTTAACAACAATACAATTTAACCTCTAAAACCACTTTTGGTTTCACATACTTGTAATATGAGTGCTTGGTGTATTTTAACTGACTGCAAAAAGCAATTTAACTGTTCTTTACTGGACTTGATTAAGATGTTCTGCTACTGCAAAACCCCACACTCTTCCTGTCTACAGAATATACATTCAGTGCCTTCTTTGGAGACAGAACATGTTCCAGCTTGCTTCCATAGCATAAACAGTTTTATTGATCGCTGACAGTTTTCACCGCTGATGTGTGACATCCATGTAATGCAAATCTAAGACTCGCTAAGGCATCAGCACCTGTGTGAGATGACTGAGATCCTGCCGTTCTTTGCTCCCTGCAAAGACCATCTGCTTGTTAAGAATGACATCACTGGTTTTGATTTTAGGAGATAATTGTTGAGACAGACAGTAACATTACTTCAGTCCACATGCGCCTCCTTTGGAATGGATTCACTGACAAAATAATTATATTATTTTGACATACATTTAACCTTCAGGATTATTCCAGTGCTGTTTGCTGTCACTTTTAAATAAGCCAAACACAAAGGTCATAGGTCAAAATACATTTTTGCCCAGGTTGCCATATCATCTGACAAGAAAGTGACCAGAAGAAAGTTGCAGTTTAGGGGTTAAAAGGGTGCTGTCTCTTAAATCAGACGGGGCACGCTGACAAACGTCACTGCTGAAGAGATGTTAAACTGTCACAATGGCAGAGTCACTCTCCAGAGGCTGGCCTGCAAGAATGCAGAGATGATCAATGAAAAATTTTAATGACGATCATACTGTAATGCATGCATACTAAGTCATTTTTAAGTCATGGACAAGTGTGCACCAAATGTGCACTTGCATTATCTAGAGGGCGCTTGTTCTTTTGTATTTTGTACACAGAGAATGAACATTAAGAGTGCAATATGTTCAAATGAGTGTTTTTTAACAGTAGTGGACGAAGTATTCAGATTCTTTACTTAAGTAAAAATACCAATACCTCAATGTCAAAATACTCTGTAACAAGTAAAAGTACTGCATTAAGAATGTAATTAAAGGTAAGTATAATCAGAAAAATGTACTTTAAGCATTCAAAGTAAAAGTACTCAATGCAGAATGAAAACTATTTTTTGCAACTAATGACTTTTTCATTGTGGATTAAACTAGATAAGCTAAATAGTGAGAAATGTTGTCACAATTGCCCAGAGCCCAACGTGACACCTTCACAATGCTTGTTTTGTCAGTCCAAACCTCAAAATGTTTAAAAATACATTAAAATAATCAAAATGGAAACAAATGGCAACAAATCTTCACATATGTGAAGCTGGAACCATAAAATGTTTTTACATGAAAAACGATTATCAGAATAGTTGCCAATTAAATTTCTGTCAGTCAATGAACGTACTAGCTGTACTTGTATAGCTTAATCTCTAACAAAACAAAATATTTTTTTAAACTTCATTTTTGTTTTGTGTGTAAAAATCTTACTTAGTAAAGAACTAGGATCTGTCAGATAAATGTGCTGAAGTAAAAACTACAATATTTCCATCTGAGATGCAGTGAAGTAGAAGTAGAAACTGGTTTGAAAAGAATATACTCAAGAATCTATATACCTCTATTTTGTGAGCAGTCTGCTTGAGTAAATATAGGCTACTTACTTACTGTCCACCGCTGCTGTTTGTACAGTACGGTGACTTTATTAAAGCCCCCCTCCACTCAAAAATTTGTTTTGCTATTTGTTTATACTTCACTTGGATGTTTGAGCTTCACTGTGCAGAATGTGTTGAGTGTCCTGTTTTTCTCTGTGCTTACCTTACCTCTCTCTATGTGTGAGATGATTCTGTGAAATCACACCTTGTTTGGAAACAAGGTCCAATATTTTTATCTGGCAACTCTTTATTGAACATGTTAAATATGGAAACATTTGAGAAACACTAGAATCAATACCGCCCCTGCACACACAACACATTGTTGTAATTAACCAACTCCAGCAGCTTCACTCCTACTCTGTGTTTGTAGCATTTGCAGTAGTGGCAAACTGGGGGCCCACCCGTGTTGAAGACACCCCCTAGCGCCATGCGTCCTTACTACACCCCATACGCTGAGAAGCACTGCCCCCCTGTGAAATTCCTGACTGCCAGGGTGATTCCTACGGTTACCAAGGGCTGCTTCCTACTGTAGCCTACTGTGAGCTCTGGGGCAAACTGTTTTACAACCTCTGGATAAATTATCAACTACGGGAATGATATCTCCACCGATAAAGGGTGAGTTTTGTTGTAATAACGCTGGAGGATACTGTCGGTCTGCAGATGTTAGTGTGCGGGCTCAGTAGTGTGTGAAGCTCTGCCTTACAGTCTGTAATGTCCTGTCTTGATTCGTGAAGCCTACACAAATGTAGCTTACCGTGTCTACCTGTTTCTTTTTAATACATAGGCTATATATACACACAGAACAAAGGCCGTTGTTCATTGTTAGTCTGAATGTGTGTTTTTAAGGAAAGACTTGGGAACACGCCCTTGCTGTCTTGCCTACCTGTATGAAAGGGAATGCTTTCAACTTCATTTGAATGCCCACAAACTGCGGACAGACCAGCGCACAACGCCAGGCTGGGGCACTTAACCGTATTTGTTAATTTGTCGCTACAGTTTCCAGTTTGTTGCAGTGTCGTCTCGGTCAAATAGACGTTTTTATAACGTCTTTCTCAGCCAGTAACTCACACAGCCGCTGTGAGACCCAGTGAAAAGTCAACAATGTTTGTAATACGGGTGACTTGGTCCGCATTACCCCGGCTGGTGCACCGCAGCTCAGCTGTAAACTGTAACCTGCGGCGGCAGAGTTGACGCGGACGGATACATTGTATTTCCCCGGTCCACTGAAAGCAACCAGTAAGCCAGAAAAAAAAACATGCTGGTTTGAAACCACTGTGGTGTTGTTGTTTTTCAAGAAGCAGCACAAATAGGCTAGTGAGGTGAGGGAGAGCAGGGGGGGTGGAGGGGAGGAGGGGGGGCTTCCGAGGCCACGGTGAAACCAGGGAGTTTCCTGCCTCTAGGTCCGCCTGCCTGTCGGGTCACAGGTAGGGGCTGGGCGGGTAAACCTGCTTTGGAGTTACACCAGACAGAGACGTGAGTACTGGGAAAGTCAGACGTATATTTCAACTCACATAGCCTCCTTTCCTCTTTGCTTAAATACATATAGCCTAGACCTAACACTTGGTTTTTGTTGCGGGATTTCTAAAAATGTATAAAAAGTGCTAGGCAGGTGCTCCTGTAGCAAGTGCTCAGTGTAGTGACATGGGCTGTAATCAATCACCTTAAATGTGTTTTTTGTTTTAGTTCCTGCTTGGAGGTCTGCTTTGTTTATTGATCGAATTGTCTCAGAGCCCAAGGGGAAATTTTCAAGATGTTTCTTTTCCCAACTGACCAAAACCAAAATGTATTGTGTTTACAGTGATGTAAAACAGAGAACACAAGGAAATCCTCACCTTCAAGAAACAAGTGTTTTGCATTTTTGCTTGATAAATAAGCCATCAAAATAATCCATTTATCAACTATAGTTATTTTATGCCAGGCAAAGGCTGTATCAGTGTCTTTAAACATATTTTTAACTGATGATAAAGTTATTTACAACTGAACCCATTCTAATTTTCTGAAACATTACAAGTAGACAGCTACTCTGGATTCCCTGACCTTCATTTAGAAATGTTTTTATTACAGTCCTTGATAATGTAATTTCAGACAGTCATTTGCGCTTGGACAATATTTTTGACAAATATTTACAACAAGTGTTGGTTGCTGTGTAGACTAGCAATACCACGCTGACACGTATATCTCCATCGCCTAAAATTAAATGGCTATTCTTTGTACGCAGCCATGCATTCACATTATTTAATAAACACACTGTTAACTACTCTGAGTACAATACATTTCCATAAAGACACGCACAATCTTAGATCTGTATGGCTGGCTGAGCAGAAGCTGCACAGTAACATACTTTGACAATGTGAGAGCCCAGACCGACAATAAACGATGTCAACAACTTGGTTCTTCCTCTCCGTAAATTATGCATAAGACCCTCATTATCATTGTGTGTTTCAGATGAGATGAACATTTGAGAGCTGTGTGATTCCCATCCTATCACACTGCACTTGGATTCTTCTTCACTTTCCGTCCCAGTAAAAGTGGTTCTGGTTTGCGTGACCGCTGCAGAGAGAATATTGATAAAGAAACCCATCACGAGCTCTTAAAATGAGATGTGTGCTTGAGTACAGTGAGCTTTTGTGAGGTGTTAAAGCAGCACGGTGTGTTACATACTTTGGTACCTTTTGGTTTAATAGCTGTAAAGCATAAATGTACAGGTTCCACTGTAAGTAGCTGTGAGTCAAGCAGGGGAATAGTAGTAGAAGTAGAGAGAGAGGATTTGCTTGTTCACCACTTTATATCCATTTCATGAAGAGGTCAGCTCTGTCATTGTTTGGCTTCTTGGCTTCTGGATTGTTTCACTGCTGTATTATAAAATAAAGTGAGAAAAGTTAGTCTCCCGAGAGGAAATAGGCAATATGTTAGTGTCATTTCTTTTCCTACTGTCTGTTAACGGTGGGGTTTTAAAATCGTAACTCAGTCGTAACTCAGTCAGATCTGAACACACAGGCGTGATGTTTTTATATCCAGTGCGACTTCCAATATAACAGCCAGATCTCTCCAGCTAATGCAATCATCACCCACAGCTGGTTTATTGACTGACCGCTCAGTATTAGCTCATTGCGGTTGCCTAGGAACACCAGCACAAAAATGCAACAGGTAAAGGCCAAATGTGAATCAAGCATAAGGTTTGGAGTCAGACATACCTCTTTCTGACAGCAGATATAAAGTGATAGCGATCTGTAATTAACACTGCATAAAAGCTGCATGTTAATGATCTCTCCAGTCAACAACAAGCAGAATAATCCAGACTCTTATAGGCACTCTGGATTCTGCTGTTGTTTCTCCACCTCAGTTTCTTCAATGCTTCCATGCGCCTCATTGATTCCTTACAGGATATTTGAGGGGTTCAAATCAGTGACACCCGGGAATGTTGATTAAATTCCACAGAATTAATGTCCTTCGTTTGCTCAGTCATGTACAGCAACACGGCGAGCATGTGACCGGGGCCAGACTTCCACAGTGACTTAGTTTTCATGTTCCCTCACGTCCCGGCACGTCTCGTGACTGTGGCCGTCACAGACTTAACCTACTCTCGAGCTGAAGTGAAGTCATTATTTAGCGTGAGCTGGCTGTCTGTGTTTAAGGTGTGAGGAGATGTGTTGTCGTGGTGCTAATAGAAGCAGCGATACGAGGGCGTCATGGCTAGGTAGGGAGGGAGGAGGCGAGAGGGAGAAGCGTGAGCAAGACAGAGCTGCGTGCTGATGGCTTGAGGTAACAGAGCAGACTAATTTCATTTTTACAAATCACAAAAGCAGATATGTTTAAGAGATTATGTCAAAAGTCAACCTAGTTACCCAGAATAAGTAATTTGGTAATTATGTGTTAATCCCCAATTTTGCATGTAAAACCCATTATCTCATGTTGGAGAGCTTTTCCACTGACTAAACATAGGTCATATACACCATTAGCTCTAAATACTGATGAGCTTTTAATAGCATCTTTGCTCAAACTGGCCTTATGCCAAGGCCACGTGTTGTCTACAAATTCAGCCCTGATGATTTCAATCACAGTGTGGTGAAGAGAGAGTCATTTCCTGAACATCTGTGTGTTTTTCACCAAGTTTGATTATTATTTTAAGTAGAGAAACTGTTGTACAAAAGAGCGCTAGAGTGGTGCAGGAATCAAAAACGTGCTATGAAAGGCTGTGGGATTTCAGGATTAATCATTGCTGAGTGCGAATGAGCTGCAGGGGGGCTTTCATGTTGATTCTCCTAAAAGGAAGAACGGATGAACGGCCTGCCTGAAAGGAGGTTTCGAATGAAAACATAAGGGATCATCTTACCTGGTACATTAGATGCTTAATTTGCTGCTTTACACAGGGAGAACTTTTAAGTACTGCTCCTTGCTTGACTCCTGCTCGCACAGTGTGTCTTCAGAGGTGCAGGTCAGCAGGTCAGTCTGTAGGGTGGCATCTGGGCGGTTCAGTGACTTTATACTGTGTGACTGATGCTGGTTCAGTACAACAGACTTTTAACGTCTGTCTGTTGTTTGGCTTGGCTTTAAGCATTCCTCAGTGTGTTATGGGGTCAGTAAATCCAGCAGCTTCAGAGTCAGCCATGCGCTTCCCGGGAGTTTCCCTAAACAGCAGAAATTTCAGTCTTATTTGTTAACTCTTAATCAGCTCAAGCTGCAGCTGCAACAAACGTGTGCTTACAAGAAGATATATTAAAATAAATAATCATGTGTTTATCTGTTGGCCGGTGTGAAAGCTGACGAATGAACTCGTCTTTTTAGGCTGTCTCGGTTGTTTGTAATGTGAAAGCAAAGCAGACCAATCACAGGATTTTGTGACAGTAAATGTGATTTAAGCATGAAGTCAAGATATATCCCGATACTGGAGTTTTGAGGCCAATACTGGTATTGATATTTGAATTTTAAAAATCTGACGACGACATATCGACTGATGGTACTTACGTAGCGCATATAACATGACATCAATCGCAATACAGAACCTTTTTATATATATTTTTTTTAATTATAACCAAGATACAAACTAAGTTGATAATTTTACAGTGTGAATATTTTTTGTCATATGTACAGGACAACAACAGTTGTCACACTGTACAGTGAAGTTCTTATTCTGTAATATTACAGTGCGAGACACCTCTCTGTTTGTCCTGTTTCTACCCAGAGGTCCAGTTTCACTCGTCACTATAATGCTCATAATCAGTTATTTGTGCACAAGCTCTTTGTGACAACAGAGAAGATAGATGATCGCCTCAGGCTCAGTAAATGCATCGTTAACATGCTGTTAGTTGTCTGAGTTTGATTTGGAGTTTCTACTGTCCTTGTAGCCTGATGATGCAGAACGACAGGCGCCAAAACTGTCCTATAAAAGAGTTACCTGCCAGTCCTAAGAACTTATGCCTACAGCTCTTAAATAAATGAAGTTTTATCTTATCTTTAAGTACAAGTAACATGTCAGAAGAACATGAACCAGACCAGAACTATAACATAACAAGGTATCATTTATTCATTGGTCTGAATCAAATAAACCAAACTACAGCAGAGAAAGTGCTCGTAGCCTGGGCAGCCGGTACTATTTAGGTACAACACTGAAAACA